TCTCAGGCTCGCTCTGTCCTCTGGCACGCCTGCTCCAGACCCGTCGCCATCTTGCTCCTCCTACCCTACTGATTTTTAAACTTAAAAATTATAGCTGTGTTACATGAAATTATTTACAGAAAATACATTCAAATGAACAGAGGAATTTCAAGTTTTCTTCTACTTTTCAATTGAAACCATAAATCCAACAAAGATTTGAGAAGATTGACTGGTCATGTCATTAACTGGAGATAAATCTCAGAGAAATCTTTTATTTTCTGAAAAGAGGTTAGTAAAATAGGTTAAACATTTCAGACAACACACGGCAGATGAAAAATGTTATATTACTGCTATAGCATTTGATTTTATAATAAATCACAAATTTATTATAATGAGTAATTATCTCTACTCTTTTAACTCTATTCATATTTCCAATTTATATTATCTTTTGGTTGATCTGCTTAATGTAAAAGAAAACAATGAATTAAATTTGCTGACAGAAAATGGAGTTGATGATTCTAAAACAATATTATTCATTAGAATATACTGGTGCTTAGTTAATATTGACTTTCCCCTAAATAAGTCTAAGATGTGTTAAATTAAAAAATTTTTTGAAATTGAATGTATGAATTGCACCACTACTGACATCAGCTTACTCCATACTAATGTAAAGACAGTATCTAAATTATGAGTGGTATTGAGATGATTAATAAGCCCATCCCTGTGCCTACCACATAGTTGATGATCGATCAATATTGTTGTTTTTTTATTCACTTTCTATTTTATTCAGAAAATAGTATCAATCTGAAAGAAACCTGTGTATGCTTCTACCCACGTATCTGCATCCATTACCCATATCCTCATCCTGTGCTTTCCTTCTTGTTTCTGTGAATGACTTTTCCTCCTCCTACGTGGTAGTAATCCTTCCTTTTGCTCAGTAAATCTCATTCATCTCATTTCCTCAGAGATACCTCTCCAGCAATTCTCCCCTCCCTCGGGGCTTATTTCTCCCTGACTCATCACTGGTCTAATTCTCATCAGCAAAGAAACACCTCCAGTCTAAGAAACTTAAATTCCACTCTGCTGATGCATATGAGTCCTCATCCCTGAACTCTGGATTCTGATGCTCAACTGCTTTAATTAACATCTCTTCCTAGTTGCCTTATAGCCACCATTGCAGATGTAACATGCCCCCAGATCAAATCTTGATAACCTCTAAACCAGAACTCCAAAAGTCTTCCTCATCTCACGATATGGCAACTTTATCCTTTGATTTATGTAGGCCAAAAATTTTCAAGTCAAGTTTAACCCTTCTGTTTTTCTTACTCCATATATCCAATTCCTTAGGAAATTCTGTTTCTATGCCTTCAAAATATATCTGGATTTTGATACTTTTCTCCATCTCTACTACCACTATCCAAGTCCAAGCCACTATAATCTCACCTGCATTTGTACAGGTGTACCTTTCTAAATGGCCTCCCTGCCTTTGTCTTTGTCTTCTTTCTTAGACTATTCTTAACTAAAACCTCTTTCAGCTCAAAATCCGATGGGGGCTTCCCATTAC